AGCCTGCTGTCATATTCCTACTCTTCTCCATCACTCCCCCTACACCCCAGGAACTTGAGAAACACTGACAAATTCTTACTTTTCAAATCTGCTTCATACAGATTTTATGAAGATGTTGAGGTCCATCTAAACCTTATTTCTGAACATAGTGGTTTATTGAATAATAGTCTTTTCTTATGGCATTCTTGCTGACATTGTGTCCGGGGTGTGTGTGCAGTTCTGGCTGGTGGTTTCTTGTCTAGCCCCACCCCCCTACTTTACTCAGGGCTGCACACACTTAGTCCCTGAGTCAGTTCTTCCCCTGAGCCCTCCCCAGCCCCCATCAACTGAGAACACTCAGGACCCCTGTTTAGAAGCAACCACAAGTCCTCTTGCTGGTGTGATGATGACTGCTTCCTCTCTCTGTCCCACAAAAGCTTCCTGCTGTCTTTCACTTCCCCAAGTCTGTGTATTACATATTTTAATGTTGGCTTTTCACAGAGCACTTTGCCATTATCACCACATATCTTGCTGTTTCACTTAGACTTTGGAAAACGTTTAAGCAAGCAAATTGAGCGGCTAAAGCAATGGGTTAGAAGAATCAGAGAAGTAAAGACCTTAGGGTTTCTCTGGTTTCTATCATGTAGTTATTTCCTGAACGGGACTGGTAATTAGACCAGCCATCATTACCTGGACGTGTTCTGAGGATGGGAAGTTGCTGTCCCAAACAACTTTCAGGCATCATGGTGTGTCCTTGAGGATTCAGGACCTGCTCCCCCGCAGCCCTGGGCACCCCCTCCCCCCAGGAAAAAGCAAAAAGGGAAAGAAAGGTCCATTTCACTAGGGGAAATGTATTGACGCTGCCTGCCCAGTCACCTTGTCCACCCTTTCTCTCCCATGCGGAGTGTTTTTCTCTTATTTTTACAAAGAGTGAGATTTACAATGCAGTGTTCTAAGGTGTCTCAAATTTAAACTGTCGGTAGCAGTCTTATAATTATTTCAAGTGGAAAACACACTGGATACTTTTACTTGTCATATGTAAAACCACTTGAATACATTCTGCTCTCCTCATTATATCTGAAAGAATCTGAGTTTTCAAATGCATTTAGTGGTTAACCTTAGTTTTATTTTCAGGCCAATTGCTTAGAATCTGGTCAGTCTGGAGTATTATGTATCTAAAGGCTCCAGTTAAGCATCTTGTGTCATAAGATCACCGAGCTGCCATGGGGAAGCTTCGCATTAGGGCCCCTAAATTCCTCTCACCTCAAGTGCCTTTCTTATGAGGCACTCTTAATTTCTTGAAGTAATCAGTTACCCCTAAACTCTGCCTTCGGTAATCTGATGCACGCTGCTAGAGCACATAAAGACCAGTAATTTTAGTAAAATTCCTTCCAACAATGGTATTTAAAACCCCACCCTAAGGAGGGTTTTATTCTCGAAGCATTTTCTTATCCCTCACCTCCTTCCTTCACTAAGTGGATTGCGAAATGTGTTTCATTTGGCATTTCGAGAGCGGCTCGGAAAAGTTAGCCATGTGGCTGGTGCTGCTTTCACGTGAGCTCTGGCCCTGGGGCATGGCCACCCCCAGCTGCCTGCCTGGGAAGGAACTGGGGAAGTGGTTGCCTCTCTCCCGGATGGAATGCTCCAGCAGTAATTGTCAGTGACTGTGTCCTAGGTTTGCCCACTGCAGAAGGTTCTTATACATCCTCAGGGGTTCTGATCCTCTTGGTCAGCTCTCGGCTTACACTTTCCACCGCACCCCCTGCTTTCCTCACCTTCCCGAACCTCCCTCCCTCATAGTTTCCCAGAGGGGCTGGGAATTAGACTGAATAGTATTGAATTCAGCTCTTGCATCTCTTTGTTCAGTTGCACTCTCCAGCTCCACTGGCTCAGCTCAGTTTACTGTGGCTCTGTGAGTCTCAGGAGCTCTGGCGATGCCTCTGTTTCCTTTTCACCAATACCAGCGTTTCCTAGAAAGATAATGACAGTGACTTGTTTACATCTATACAGCACATGCCTTTTCAAGACCAGAGAATTTAAGTCATGATTTTAAAGGGGTCAGCACGATGACCCCGAGGGATGGATAGGGAAACCTAGGCACTGACAAGAGTCATGGCTTCCCAATTAGAGCTTGGTACAAAACTGTCTTAACCAAGAATTACCAACTGAAAAATGATTTTCATGTCCGTTTTCTTCCATTTATACATTTAACATTAACAAGATATTCTTGAAAGCACCAGTGGTATTTGCCTGTGTTTTGCTTGTAGAGAGACGGTGGTGAGTGGATGACCGCGGTGCCCGGTTTCTCTCGCCCTCGCTCACATAGTAAGCTGCAACTCGAGTCAACTTCTAGTGAAGGGTTGTGTATAGTAGGGACCAAGTGCAGACCTTGTCCTGTGTTTCTGGAGGTTAGGAAAGGCCTATCAATTACCCAAAAAACTATATGCTACTTTTTATGAAAAAACTTAAACTTGTTTTAACTCAAAAACAAAAATAACTATTTTGACAAATCCCTTACAAACTCGTTTTTCTGGCACGTTAATACATCGAGCTTTCATTGAGGTCACTAGTTTGTAGAGTGTAGTTTGACCGGCAAGTGAATGTCTCACACATGTACTTGTTGTCCAGGGTAAAGAAACACTTCGCCAGTGTTGACCAAGGTTAGCTATTGACCATTTATTTTCCATTGAAGCGGAATGTGGACGTTTGCTTTGTTTCTTAACGTTTCAAATTCCATCCTGGCAGGGAAGTGGCCTATCACCAATACCTCTGTGAAATCGCACTTCACATGCCCATTTCCAGCCGGTGCTGAAAGACGACTCCACTGCCCAGAGCTCCCTGCCACTCACTCTGACCACAGCGCCCACTGCCTTTGTTCACAAGGAGCAGTCATTTTCCTGAAATAATCAAGTACTGCACACGCTATTTGATGACTGAGGTGTTGGTGTTTTAGTAAACTGAACTCTGAGCTGAGGCCACGCTGTACATCTTCCCTCGCTGTCCAGTGCTGACCCCAGGCAAGGCCTCACAGGTGGCATTACCTCTGAGGGTTCCCGTGTGAAATGTCAGGATGGTGGGAAGCTATTGTACAATTGGCTGAGCTGCCTACTCAGGTGAAAACCCCCCCAGGAGAAGGCACTCTCCTGGCTGTGGCGAATGAGTCAGGACTAGGGAGAGGTTAGATCAACCCTGAACCTGGTGTTCCAAGGTGGATAGGAGTGGATTCTCTGTGATTAGATGGGACGGGAAGAGAGCGGGATGAGACTGTGGACTGCAGGATGCTGCTGTGGCCCTCTTCTTCACGCTCTCTCCCCTTGAGCTTAACCTGAACCAGGCACTGGGCACCCTCAGGCCTCAGATGACCTGGTGAGTACGCTTGGGCCTCCTCGGAAACAGGCATCTCTGCAGGCCCCAAGTGGCCAAGCCAAAAAGATCTGGGCAGAAAGGGGCTCCCCAAGACCCAGGCCAAGCTGTCACCATGGAGTTGTCACTGTCTCAGGCTTGTTTTCCACTTCAGACAGAACAATAATGGAAGGATCCAGAGTCATTGTAAGAGTTAGGACGGAAGGTGCTATGGAAATGGAAAGCGGGTTCCCCGATGGTTCCATAGAGGGCCCCACTTAAATGCTCTCCAGTGTGTGCTGGTGGGAGTCCACGTGACCCCTCCCACCAGAGAGGCAGGCTGCCTGACAGAGAAGGCTCTGGAGCCTGCTGGCTCTGCTCTGCCTTTGGGGACCACTTGGAATAAGTCAAACCCCCTTTTCTTCAGACAGCCCATCCAGGGTGACACCGTCTAGTGATGGCAAATGGTGCTTACTATCTGTGTCCTAAAATGAGCCTGGAGAGACAGGTCTGCGCGCGCGCGCACACACACACACACACACACACACACACACACACATACACACACACACACACACACACACACACACACACACACACACCGTTCTCCCCCGTCCCCCAACAGTCTTACCCAGAGGCAGTCCTCCTGGGAATTTGAGCTTTCAGATTCCTTGGAAACTGACTCAGATAAATCAAATTCACAAAAGCCTAGAGCATCCAGAACAATTGGAAATTCATTTGAAAATAAAACAGGGTACTCATGTTTGCAGAATAGAGCTTTCTCTTCCTGTTGGCAAGTTTAGAGGAACTAAATTACAGGGTGTTGAGTGGACAAGGAATTAGGGGAAGGATTGGTTAGATGATCTCAGGAACCATGGTCACCAGGGCGTGATGACCTGGGGCACCCCCTCTACCAGCCCCTCCCCACCCCCCACGTTGGACTGCCAGCTTCCTCCCAGGTGTACCCATCCCCCTTTCCCGCTTCCACAGCAGGCCAGCTCCCTGACTTATATGGACTCCGTCCTTCCTTGGTCAGTGCCCCTGTCAGACAAAGGTCTGGTCTGTTATGTACTGATCTTTATCATTTAACCTGCAAAGGACAGTGTATACTCGCCCAAGTCCTGGCAGCGGGTGGGAAAGGACCACAGGCCCCCATTACTGTGACTGCTGCTCAACTGGCATTTAATTACACACAGATGCGTACCAGCTCACAAATGCTATTATTTTGTTTTTAACCCCTCTCTTTTTACTTTTGGAACTTTTATTTTGAGGTAATTGTAGATTCACATGCAATTGTTAGAAATTCTACAGGACAATCCTATGTGCCTTTTACCTAGTTCCATCCAATGGTAACAACTTGCAAAACTATAGTGTAATGCCACAACCAGGATGTTCACATGGATACATTCAAGACTGTGGAGCATCTTATTGAACCTCTTCTCAGCTGTGGTCGTGGAGGTGTTTAATAGGCACCCAGCTCCCTAAAGAGGCGGGCTGGTATCCCTCGTCTGTCTTCCTGGAGAGGTATGAGCAGAAGGCAGATGGCCCCTGAGAGCCTTTGAAATGCAGACCCATGCATTGCTGTGGCTGGGCTAAAGCCTTCTCATTTTGTGGCAAGTGCCCACTGGGAACTTGTGGCGGGGATCCAGAGCATTCACCCCATGTCTCTTTTGAAACAGGAGGACCATGACACCATGGAAGCCGATCTGGACAAAGACGAACTGATCCAGCCCCAGCTCGGCGAACTCTCAGGCGAGAAGCTTCTGACCACGGAGTACTTGGGAGTAAGTACCACGTGAGAGGGAGAGATGGGCCACTGATGGCCTGAATGTTTGCCATAACATATGAGGGTTTGGTCTATTCTGCTACGATACTGTGTTTATGAGAAGTTCTGTTTTAGCCAGTGTGTTTCCAGTGGCCCTCGCTACCTGTCACAAGTAGACCTGTTGGTGAACAGAAGAGGGATTAGAATACAACTAAAGGTCACACGCCAGGGACCTTCATTTATCTGAAGGTCTGCCCATGCTTAGTAGTAATTATCTACCTGTCCAGCTTCTAAATTTTCACACGTTTTGTTTGTTACAAGGGAAGTCTGAGTAGGAGAAAAGAGCAGTATTAAGTGATTACAAATATCCTACTTCTGCAAAGTTTGCAAAAACATATGACCAAACAAAAACACATTACTAGGGCTCCCTTCTGAGACCTGGAAGCTTTGACGCCATTAGCCCGGTGGTAGTTCTGCCCTGTGTGTCAGCCCTTCATCCATGTGCTTTAGCTTCTTGGCCGTGAGATGATGGATGCAGCTCTTGAATTAAATTCATGATAAAGTCGGGGAGAAGGCCAAACATGCAGGCCAGCCAGACCCACCCCTTCCATGTGCTTTTCCCAGAGCTCCACCTGGAGACATCCACATACTTTTAACTGGTCAGAATGGGGTCACATGGCCCCTAGCTGCAAGGGAGTCTGGGAAGGTATTTTTAAAGTATATACATTTATACCTTATACTTCATAATATGTCATAATTTCTTTAAGTGATTCATCAGTACTCAAAAGCTAGAAAATCGCTTACATCGCACAGCAGGAATGGATCTCCAATGTAACCCAAGGACCTGCTGTAAATGGAAAATATATCTTTTACCTTCATTGGCATGTGTTGACCATCTTTTGCTACTGAGTAAATTACATTCGGCTAAAATCATAACGCTGAGTACCCCTCGTACTCATGAGAACGTAGAATTAGGCGCAGTTAAGCACGGTGCAGTGCATATCCCCACCAAACTCCTCCCGTTCCCCTGGGGGGACGCGCACCACACTCTGGGAAACACTGGAAGCTGCATTTTTAAATTGTGGTTAAATTTTTTTAGCAGCAGAACTTTTAGAGGCAGATTTTATTCTTTCAAATACACTCTCCATCTGTGGCAGAGAAAGCTGAGTTCCTCTGGATAGTCAGGTGGGTGCCAGGAACCCTTTCTCTTTTCTGTGGAACTCTGTGTAGACAGCAGGTTGTTGAACCAGATACTGTTTATGATCTTTCCAGCTCAGAAAGGCTCCTTTGCAGCTGAGGGACCTAGAAATCACATGAGCCACACCGCTGCTCCCCCTGCAAGCTCAGAGGGTTGTAGGACAGCTAGGAAACAGTGGCTGCTCTGAGACACCAGGCATGCCACATGCAGAGATCCTGGGCCCTGCACACTGAACCCTCTTCACCAAGAAGAGGGACCTTCTTTCCTTGGGGACCTTGACCATTCTGTCCCACAAACCAGACTTGGCTTCCTCACCCGTTGAAGGGGACAGATACCACCCACCATAAATTATTTCTTAGGTCTGTGAAAATTTAAGGACTTGGTTTGGCTGCCTGAGTTTTCCAAAGACTGAAATACTCAAATATCAGTGATATATTTTCTCTCCTTCAGGAAGGAAAAGGGAGGCTCAATCTCCAAAGGACAGTGGAGTGGGGAGGAGAAGGCAGAGGGCTGGCAACAGACTTGAAAGAACCCATGTATTCACTGTCTGCCTTTCCCAAGAGCTTCAGACTTAGGCCCCTCAGCTCTGTGTGGAGAGACCCAAGTGTTCTGACTGGCAAAACAGAGCGGGGAAGAGAAGGCTTGAAAGGTCCTAAAGTACTGTTGAGAACTGGACGTAAGGGGCCTGCTCTGTGGTGAGGCCTGAATCCCAGGTGGGGGCAGTGTGACAGGGAGGTCAGAGTGGACAGCAGTATCAAATGATTGCAGTTCAAACAGCTCTCTTGAGAATTTCACACGTTACATAAAGGGAAACAACACTACGTTTTAATTCTTATTTGGAAAGTTTAATTATGTTCCATTTCCTCCAAGAGGGTAGTGGCCTCCCTCCCACCTTCGCTCTGCTGTCTTTTTCCCTTCCCTTACCAGTGCAGGGCTAGGCCGCCTGCCTGCCGCCCACTGCCCTAGCTGGTGGCTGTCCCCACAGCACAGCTGAGGCCTGTTGATGCTTTCTATCGGAAAGTGACCCTTTTCTTCTCCTTCACTCAAATAGTTGTAGATAAACCCAAATAACTTGTCAGTACGAATCAAGAAATCACAGATATTATTCCAATTTTTAAAAATTTTAAACTTTTTTCTTTGAAATAATTGTAAATTCACAGGAAGTTGAAAAGTCTTGCAGAGAGGTCCCATGCCCCCTCACCCAGTTTCCCCCGTACCTTATGTAACTGCAGCACTTATCAAACCAGGAAATTGGTGTTGGAGCAGCCCACAGACTTTATTCACATTTCACTAATTTTCAGGGATTTCTTTTTTGGACAACTAAATTATTAACATAATATAACCATATTACAGAAAACTTGGAAAAATTACTCTTGATTCTACCATCCCACATAGCTACTGCAATCATTTAGTATCTTTGACTAAATCCTTCCAGTCTTTTTTCATACTTTTAACATAATCAAAAGCATCATTTTTATGTAGTATTATAACGTGACTTTAATGTTTTAAATAAACATTTTCTTTATAACCTAGTATTTATCAGTATAAATGGCTATATAATATTTCAAATGAACATGCATGTTTTACTTAATTATTCCCCTATTAGTTAGATTGTTCCAGTTTCACTCCATAATAATTTTGTAACAACTTTATTTACTTAACATTTTTCATATTTGAGATTCTTTCACTATGATTGACACCCAAGGATATGAACAGTTTTATGACTCTTGATATAAAATGCCAAACTGCTTTCCAAAAGAGTTATCTCAAATTTCTAGTCACTAACATTTTACTTTTTGTTAATCCTCACCCGAGGATATTTTTCCATTGATTTTTTAGAGAGAGTGGGAGAGGGAAAGACAGGGAGAAACATTGATATGAGAGAAACACATCGATTGGTTGCCTCCTGCCTGACCAGGACCCAGGCTGGGAGGAGCCTGCAACCAAGGTAATACATGCCCTTGATCATAATCGAACCCTGGACCCTTTGGCCCAAATGAGCCACCTGCCAGGGCCAAAATTGTGGTTTCTAATTATTTGTGTTGAAAAACTCAGAAAGAGTCAGGAGGCTTCAGCTAGAAATAAATAATAAAGATTTATTCAAGGGTCTTAGGGTATGCAAATCAGACACACAACTAGGCAATACCCAGCATTCCGAAAAAGAAAGAAAAGCTGAGGGCTCTTACGGTAAAAAATAAGCTCTTAAAAAGAATCAGTTCTGCATTCTTAGCTTCTGGATTGGTCAGAGATGACCATGGTCTGGAAACTGGATGTCAGGTGGTCTGGGTACTCACACATTCTTCCTCAGTCCTTCAGAAGGTTGTCTGGGTCTGTTGTATATCCAGGCACTGACACTGGGGATGTGCCCACAACCAAGGAAATGCCTTTGACTGGAACCGAACCCGAGACCTTTCAGTCCGCAGGCCGACGCTCTCTCCACTGAGCCAAACCGGTTAGGTGATCCATCCTCTTATGTGCAAAGCCTCATACTCCTATAGATTTATGTATTAAATATAGTAAGTTCTGCTTCTAGGTCAGCTTTCAAGATGCTTTCTCCAGCCCCTTTTTCTCTTTCCTTCCCCAGATCATGACCAACACGGGGAAGACGAGGCGGAAGGGGATGGCCGGGGTGCAGTGGGGCGGCGATGAGCCCCTGCGCAGGCCAGTCACCCCCAGCGGCCACAGGCACGGATACCCAGCGTAAGTCTGGGCTAGAAGGATTTACTTTCTTAAACTGCCATGTAAGATGTATGTATAAACATTTCAAAATAAATGTTTCTATTGAAAAGCATTTATCCTGCCCCAGCCAGCATGGTTCAGTGTGTTGAGCATCGACCTATGAACCAGGAAGTCATGACTTGATTCCTGGTCAGGACAGATGCCCCAGTTGCAGTGCGACAAAACCAGCAAGGGGTCAAGGTTTTCTTTTTTAATTAGTGATATACAAATGAATATCACACCTTTTTCTCTTAAACTTACAACCAGTATTTTTTAACCTACAGAAAAGTTGAAAGAATATTACAATGAAGAGCTTCTAGCTGTTAGCATTTTGCTACCTTTTCACCATCAGTTCTCTCGCTCTCGCTCCTTCTATATGTGCCTGCTATACATATATACCTTTTTTTGCCGAACCGTTTGAAAAAAAGGCTGTGGACTTTCGGCACGCATTTTCTAAGAATAAGAACATCCTATACTTAACCACATTATCACACCTATGAAAAATAACATTAATTTAATAATATTATATAGAATATCAAGATTCCCTAATTGTCCACAAAATGTCATCTCTAACTGAGGGGTTTAGTGGAGGTTTTTGATTTAGAATATAGCCAAGTGTCAACTACTAGAAAATCCAGTTTATAAACATATCTTTCTGAATAGAAGAAGTAAAAGGAACTAAGAAAATTCATCTTGTTTGATGTAGGAAAGAGGATGTTGATTCATCATTTTAAAAAATTATTTTTAAATTACCTTTTAAAATTATTAACACCCTGGCTGCACAGAGATGCAAGAATGACATAGGATATTTTAATCAGAGAGGATAAAGGGAGGTCTAACCAATGGGCACAGTTAATTCTTGAGTCAGATGTTCTAGTTTGTAGAGAAAGAAGAGATATTTTACATGCCTGGGGGCAGGTGTGGCTGTCCTGATTGGTGGGTATGGTCTCTGCAAGAAATGAGAAACCTCATTTACCTAAAACAGTGGGCCTTCCCACTATAGCAAAGCAATTGTCCATCACCCCCTCCACACATGTCACTCAGTACAGACAGTGTGCTGATTGCTGAGGGAGCACCAGTAAGTGAGATGGGATTCCTGCTCTCAGCAGCGCCTGGAGGGGAGAGAGTTGGCCCGTGTGGTGTGGTTGGAGGGGATGGGGGATGCAGGGGCGGCAGAAAGGACATTCAGGAGCGTTAAATCAGCCTCTTTAAAAAGTGATATAACTGTCCACGCACACCAGCAACCCCAAGAACCCAATGCTGCCGGGAGAGTAGGCAGACCGAGAATCTCTGACCTTGGGGACACTCTGATACTTTGTTTTTGTGCATTCAAAATACTAGTACTTTTGGCGTCAGTAACCCCACTTCTAGGGTTTTGTACTGAGAAGTCAGAATTTTACAGCGATATATACAAAGGTATTTATTGCCACATCTATAATAATAAAAGCATAATATGCTAATTAGACCCAAGGACTTTCCGGATGAAGCAGCCAGCACGGCTGGGAGGGAGGGATCCAGGCAGCCACTGGAGCTGCCAAAGCCTACTCTGGCACGAATTTCGTGCATTGGGCCTCTGGTTATTTATAAAATGAAAAATAATCTAAATGGCCAAAGTAGGAGGCTGATTACCTAAATTATATATTCACACAAAACAGTATTGAAAAATGATGTTTTAGAAGAATATTTAATGCATGGGAAGAGCCTAAGAATGTATTAGGAAATGATAAAGCAAATTAAAAATAGTGGATCTAGCCTACTGGCCACTCATAGTAATCCCAAGTTTTTGTGTGTGGTTTTTTTTTGGGGTATGTATTTGCTTTTGTTGTTAATCCTCACCTGAGGATATTTTTCCCTTGATCTTTTAGAAAGAGTGAAAGAGAGAGAGAGAAATAACAATGTGAGAGAAAGACATTGGTTGGTTGCCTTCTGTAAGCACCTTGACCAGGGCCTGAGCCGGGAGGAGCCTGCATCCGAGGTTCATGCCCTTGACTGGAATGGAACCTGGGCCCCTTCAGTCTGCAGGCCGATGCTCTAACCACCGAGCCAAACTGGCTAGGGCTGTACGTATCTGCCTTTTTAAAAAGATGTCAAAAATGTCTAGGTATTGGGAGGGCAGAACATTTTTCATGGTAAACACTGGTTTACCATGTGATTCCTTCTCCTCTCATCACTTTGCTCCACCATTTAACGCCTCTTTTGCTCCCTCTTCAAACTCACCTCCTACTGCTGCTGCTATCTCCCTGCCTCCCTCATCTCTCTGGTGACTTCCCTGGCCCAGCCTCCTCTCCCTTCACAGCCCCATGTGGTCTGACGATGACTTCAGCAAGTTATTGCTGCCTAAGCCACTGTGGCCTTCCTGTTCTGACCCCCCTCCCCCACAGAACACTGCTGACAGCCCTCCCCCTTCACGTCCTCTGCCACTGGGGGCGGTCCCTCACTCTCCCCCTCTTCCTCCTAAATGCCATGTACTGCAGGCCCCACTTGTCTGGTTTCCATGCTGCTGACACCCACCTCTCTAATTCAGCCCAGACTTGTCCCCGAAGCATCCCTGGGTGAACACACAGTCCTCTGAGCCCCCTGCTTCAGGGAATGGTGTCACCACCCAGACACTGAGCTAGAACCATCCATGGACACAGAACCCTCTCCTTCCCACGTGCTCCTCCTCTGGCCCTTCTCTGCCCTCTGAGCACTCTCCTCCGCCCAGAGCTCCTCAGGGACACCTCTCCACAGGGGTCCCCCCTCCACGACCACAGACATGGGATGCCACTCCTGTGGTTCCTGTTTCCTTTAGAGATCAAATCTAGTCAAACCCTGGCTGCCATGGTCCCTCTCAGTTGACGCCCACCCCCTCTCCCCCAGCCCTGGAAGCCCCCAGGACAGCCTGTACCTGCAGTTGCCAGTCTTTATGGTGCTTACGTAAATGTTTCTGTAACAACCCAGTGTGAGTCATTTCTTTGCCTCTTCACCTTGCTCATGGTGTTACATCCGGTAAATTCTCCCTAGTGGCCCCAGGTCAGTGTTCATGACTAGTACGCGTACACACACACACACACACACACACACACAGCATTGCCTGCCCCCTTAGGACAGTTAGGTGTCTGCTTGTCTTTGCTACTGGAACTCATTCAAGAACAACCATTTTATAGTGCCCACTCCTGCAACAGGTGGGCATGTGCTTGCTCTGATGTGCCTCCACCCCCACCCCAGGCCTCACTGGAGAGGTGGCTGGTGTCTCTTTGCTGAGGGGAGTGAGTGCTGTGCGTACAGGCTGGCCTAGGAGTACCCTGCCCGCTCCCATCCGTCACGCCTGGTTTGGGTCTGGTGCACTGACATATCCAGCAACACATGTCTGCTGGATGAATGAGTCTCTGCCAGCCACCTTCACCCACCGGGCCGACAGGAGGCAGATTCCTGTGCTTGCCTAACTCCGGTTGTCATGGCTGACATGACATGTCATGTCTTTTCTGATCGGACCCATCCTTTCACTAATCTATTTCATCCTTAGGGGACGAACCAGAAGATTGGCTCCTTAAGTTGGTTGAAATGCCATGTCCCATGTCACTCAAAGCCAAAAGATCGATAGAATTGTGTCTTAGAAAGATACTAAGCCTCGTATCACTAAACGTATAAGAGCTAACATGAGCAAGCAAGGGTACTTCCTAGTTTCTACCAATACCCCTAAAAAGTCTTGCTAGCTGCTAATAGCAAATTAACAAAAGAATGTCAGGTACTTCGACTTTCTATATTTGTTTGTGATGCTATAAGGTAGTCAGCAGACAACTGTCTCCTGGCTTTTCTGATGGCTGTTTTTCATTTTTTCCTGCAGGCTGGAAGACCATCCCGTATCCCCCCAGATATCCCAACATGCCAGAAACCGCTGCCTCCAGTCCCCGCCTACGGCCCACCTTCCAGTCTGCCAGGCCGGCGAGCCTGGAGCTTCGGAGCCTTGTGTTTCGACCTCATGTAATAACACGGGCAGCACGTGGGGACACTTTGGGGCTGCTGATTTCTAAAAAGTATTTTTCAGATGCCAGAAAAAATACATGTGCGTTGCATCAGAGATCTACAAAGTATTTTCTTTAATTTTCAAGAGGAAATTAAAAGGATATGAGCGAGCCAGATAAGACTCTAATCTCCATTCAAATAGGAAAAACAACAGAGGAGCAGGTCAGATTCCAGTGTGAGAAACATCTGAGAACTTTTATCATCTGCTCACAATAGGATCCAAACACTTCCAAGCCCGGAGCAGCAGACAGCCCGCCCCAGAGCGCAAAGGAAGCAGGCCGCTGGGCCTGGGGGCGGGTCTCCTGCCGAGAGCAGCGCTAGAGGCTCTGCCAGCTTTGAGCATCTGCTCTTTACATGGTTCGATTAGAGCTTTAAACAGTAACACGCCTTCACTAAAAGGTGACTGGCCCGATGTATCCAAAGGTTTCTGCTGCTGGGTGGAGGTTTTAGGTTGTGTGACAATTTTTGCCAATATGACCTGATGCCATTCAGATAAAAATGGTTTCAAGTTCCATAGGCCTGGACCTCCAAAGACTTGCATCTAGGGTAACTTATTTATCAGAAACATCCTAGTTTTACCAAAATGACCACCAGGGTGGCCCTCTGTCTTGCACTGATTGCCAGCATGATCCTATCTTTTGGAAAGACTTACCATGATGTTACCTGCCAGGTCGTATTGAAGGTTATCATAGACAGAGAGGGCTGGGTGGCAGCTAATGTTTTTGGCAATGTTGACATTACCAAAATGTTGACATTATTGTTATTTTCAAGAACAATTAATATTAGCCCTGACAAAGTGAAGGCCCTGGCAAATTCTGGTTCCTCGGGTGAGGACTCAGCCTTGGCAATCACTGGTCGTCCCCTGTGCCTCTCCCCGGGGAGCAGCAGCTGCTCAGTGGCCCCTCCAGATGGGAGCCCTGGGGTAGGAGCAGCTGCGTGTCCCAAGTCCCACCGCGGGTGCACCTGTCAGCCTGCTCTGAACGCTGAGACCTTAGTCCGAGTCTCCCAACCTCCACCTGCTCCTGTTTTCTCAGACTCCCCCTCCGCCCATCACCCCCCTCCCACCAGAACACCGACCTGCGTGCCCGCCACCTGCCAGAGACTGAGCCTATCAAACCTCCGCTCACCTGCTCTGCAGGCTACTCTCAGCCTCAGGCCAGCAACTTTCGCTCCCCTTGAAGTTCCTTTTACTCACCCCCGCTCTTCTCTGGGAGAAGCCAAGCCTAGGGTGACGGCTTTCCCTAGTCCCTTAGTGAGCACCTACTCTGTTTCTGGTCTAGATCCTGTTCCTCCCTCCACCCTCTTTCAGGCCTGCCCAGCCACAGCCACCCGGGACCGATGTCCCTAGGCCAGTGTCAGCTTCCCGGCTGGTCTCGCCACAGCCACCTCTTCCTCTTGTCTCCCAGCCTCTGTGAGGAGGGGTGGCAAACAGTCTTGGCTTCCATGCTTGGGATGCTGTGTTGAGACCGGTTGTGAGCTGGGCTGGGCTCCACCAATACAGGTGCCATGTCGATGAGCAAGGAGAGGAGGCCACAGGCTGGGTGGCCACCCTGATCCCATTGTCTTTATGTCATTCCTTCCCTGTCTGACTCCTCCTGGCCCTCCCCCTGAGTCCTGCTTCCCCAGCCCTTTCTGCCTCCTCTGTGCTCTTGCTCACCTGTTTCCTATCCCATCCTGGCCTTGCCCAGCCACTCCCACAGGTCCCCTCGCACACATGACCTCCTGCTGAGTCTGGCCCCCTGACCTTCCCTCATCTGGGAATTAATGCCCCATTCGGGGCCCAGTGGGGACTCACCAGTATGACCGGAAGGCCATTTTCTCAGGAAGCCCCCTTCAGGCCTATGGGACAATCAACACAAAGGTAAAACTCATGAGAAGAAACCTGTGGGACCCTCAAACTGCTTGATCAGCTGAATGCCAAAATTTTTTTTTAAATTGATTTCAGAGAGAAAGGGAGAGAGAGAGATAAAAACATGCATGGTGAGAGAGAATCATTGATTGGCTGCCTCCTGCACACCCCCTACTGGGGGGTTGAGCCCACAACCCAGGCATATGCCCTGATCAGGAATCGAACCTTGACCTCCTGGTTCATAGGTTGACACTCAATCATTGAGCCACACCAGCTGGGGAAAAGTACAATCTTTTTAACCAAAAAACTCGCCCCGGGTGCTGGAAGGAAATCATTCCCCAAGAGTAAAGACAACAATATGGCCCGAGGAAAGTTATTCTCATTTCCCCAATGACCAAGACTATCTTGAATATCAACGTCACATGCCTTGTCAGTGGGCCCTGTCTGAAATGGAGGAACAGATAGGAAACCAGTGCTCTGTCCCAGAAAGCCTGGGGGCACACAGTGGGTGCCCTTCTCCCCACAGCCCCCAGCGCTCACTGGCCGAGACCCCAGAGACCTCCAGTGTGGCGTATGGTGGCGGGAAGGGTGGCTGCTGTCTGGTGACTGAACCAAAACCCCAGAGGGTCTAGGGGGAGTTCAGCGTAGTTCCTCCTCCTAAGCCCATTGAGCAGAGAGCACAGACAAGCCGGCCATTGAAGAATGGATCAGAGCAGTGAAATTCTAGTTCCGGACACAGGCCTTGGTGGAGACTGTCCAGTAGATAAAGCCACCTGTTGGGTTTCATACCAGAAGCAAATTCCTTATTTGGAAGTCAGAGAGATGTCCCTGCTACGGGCTGAGGAGACCTGCCAGGGAGACTTTTTACATTTAAGATACCGCAGAGGCCATATCACAAAGGCGCCAGAGAGACTTTTAAAAGAACTGAAAAATTGGAAGCTGCGAATCCAGACTTTATCACTGCAGAGCTCTGACAGTGAAGTGGACCCCTTGGGCTGTAGAGAGAGAAGAGGAAATGGGGGCAGAGAGGAAGGGCCCAGGTCCCTGTCCCCAGGAGACAGCTGGGCAGTCTTCCGGTCCTTCTCGTCACTTCCCACGAAGATCAGGATGAGCCGGGCCTGGTCCTTGGCAGAGGGGCAGCTCAGGCTGCAGCTGGGAATTAGGGCACTTCCTGCCCCAGGCGGGCTGAGGGATTCAGGCCTAAAAGCGTCTGGGGCAGCTCAAAGTAGAGAAAAACCCATCCCTGGGCCTGCCAAAGCTACCAAGTAAAAATACAGGACACCAAGTAGAATTTGAATTTCAGAAAAAACAATAATAGTTTTTCAGTGCGTCTCTGTGCTCCTGTTGGAATTCCATGTCTCCTCAGCTTCTCCCTGAGAGGCAGGGGGGCCCTGGGGAGGCCACAGGGCCGATGGGCCCGCACTTCCCTGTGCCGCTGGTGTCTGGCCAGAGCGCACTGCTGCACCCAGGCTGTAGGTACTGTACGTCAGGGGGGCTGCCTAAAAAGTCCCCAGCTGCACAGATAAACAAGTCCCTGTCCATACCTGCCAGGGCCCGGCCAGGGGCTGGCCCAGGTATGTGCTTTTCTTGGCTTTGCCGCCCAGCCCAGTAAGGAGCATCCTCAAGAGCTTCCAGAACAGAAGTCCACTGAGCTCTCTCTCCTTCTCCCCAGCCTCCAGAGCCGCCAAGCCAGAGGAGTGGCTGCCAGGAGGACATCAGGGAGAGCCTCGCCTGCCCCCGGCAGGGGCCCCCAGCCACTCGAGGGAGGTGCCCTGGGCCCTGAGCAGCGGAGAAACCACCAGGTAGGAAAGGGAGGTGTCCTTCGAGGCCCAGGCTCTGGCGGAGGAAGGAGCACTCCTCTGGGGCCTGAGGCGAGATGCTGAGACCCAGGAACACAGCCACCAGGAACACAGCCACCCAGGAACACGGGGCAGAGCGGCCCTGCGCCTGAGAGCTATCTATTATCAGCCCAGAAGGGACTCATTGGGAGAACTGTAAGGTGAACACGTGGGGGGGGGGGGGGGTGACTCAGGGCAGCTTGAGGGCAGCGCCAGTCTCAGCGCTTTGCTGTGGAGAAAGGGGGGCTGGAGGGGGAAACGGAAAAAGAAGGCAGTGACATGGTTTGGCTCCGATGTCAGCCTCCTGAAGCAGAAACCAAAGCCCCCAGGCAGAGAAAGGGCGTTTTCTTCTGCACCAAAGGAGTAGACTGGCCCTTGTGGGTGACTCAGGGCTTTAGACCTAGAGAGGGCTTTCAGGGACCTCACAGGCACCTTCTCTCAGACCCAAGGAGACCTCAGGGAGAGCAGCCCCAGACCCATCGTGTCCTGAGCGCCAGGCACCCCAGCTGCCCCCTCTTCCTCCTGGCCCCGGGGCGGCAGGCCGGGGAGTCTAAGAGAAGCCAGCCTACTGTACTCAGACACTGGGCTCACTATGTATTCTACACCCTGGAACCTCTGAATTAGGGCATAGTGCCCTGGTGAACGCAACTACACCCTGGAGCCTCTGAGTTAGGACGTAGTGCCCTGGTGACTGGTCAGGCTTCTGTGCCCACGTTGTTATAAACGAGGCAAGTATTCCATGAACGTGCCCTCGGCGATCAGGGCCCCTCAGCAGTGGGCCCTTGGGAACTGGTAAGACCGTGGGAGGATGGCATCCCAGGGCCCCAGGCCTGAAGCCACCCAACATCCGCTGCTGATGGTCCTCCTAGCAGTGTAGAGGGGTCACCTGCTGGCCCGCCCTTACCCGGGCCTTACTGCAGGCCCCCACTGCTGGAAACCCACAGAAGCAGTCTGCTGAGTTCTAGAGGCCAGCGGAGCACCGGGAGCTCCCACTGCCGCAGAGAACAGGCGGGGCGTACGGAATGGCACCTACAGTGGAGGAGAGGGGAGGGCGGGGAGGGGGGCTCGAGCCCCTTCCCTCTATAGCAGATCTGGAGGGCTGAGCAGGAAGGACTTTGGGGCCTGGACTGCAATCCTGGATATCAGAGGTGCAACACGTGGCAGGATGAGCCAAACAGAGACCCGTGGGGCCGGGCCCCTGGTCTCCAGCCCAACGCCTGCCTGGCTGGGGCCTCGGCAGCCCCTCCCCACCTGGGCCTCCTCCCCTCTCAGTAGCCGAAGGTGAGCTCTGGACCCAGCTCGGCAGCTCTGGGCACCCTCTAGTCTAGAAGGAGGGTGAGGCCCCAGCAGAGCCAGGGCCGAGGATGGGCTCCTGCTGCCCTGACCTCCTGGCTCCCTGGCAGCGGCTCTGCTGGGCCGGGCCAGGGCCAGTTCTTTTCCTTTTCTATAAAAGCTGAATTCCTGCCTGAGGCCTTCCTGAGGGGACAGTCCTCTCCCCAGAAATGATTGTTTTCATAGTAGATAGGGACCCCCAAAGGCTCTTTTTGTGTTATCCGCGGTGGGGTACCCAGAAGCTTCCGTGGTAAGCCCATGGGTGCCTCTCCTTAATGGCCATCACCTGAACTCACCTCTCATTGGGGGCGGGGCTCTGTCTGAGAGAGAGGAGGAAGGAAGAGGGAGAAATGTCTTGCTGTTCCACTCTCCCCTCCCCCACTGGCCATCACCCCTGCCTGGAATCTTCTTTCCCTGCCGCCAAACCCCTCTTCTCTGGGGCTGCTCCAGGTAGAGGTACTAAGTATTCCTTCCTCCTCTCTGACCCCAAACTCTAGTCTAGGGGTGTCGAACTCAATCAGAGAAGGGGCCAAAATCTAAAATCCAGCCTAAATCGCGGGCCGAATGGTTTACTGAACAGTCATAAACTGTCATTGTGATGGAAACGCAGCGGAGTGCAGTGATGACAGCGCGGTGCGGGCCACATTGCAAGGCCTGGCGGGACGGATTTGGCCCGCGGGCCTTGTGTTTGACACATGTGCTCTAGTCACTGCACCGCATTCCAGGGCCACAGAGCCCACCGGCTCCCACAGAGCCCACGGCCGGCTCCCACGTCCTCAAAGACAAGCTGCGTGTCAGTTTGTCCCAGTGTCTCCTCTCCTGGCCTAGAACGGCTCTTCCCATGTTTGTTGGTGAATCAGGAGGAGTCAGGGTGGATAGGGGCTCCCTGCAGGGCCAGTGTCCCCCCAGCTCCGCTGCCTCCACCTTTGGGGTGAGGACAACCCCTGTCCCAGAAGAGGGGCTGACTGGGTGGGTGATGCTTAACTGCTCAGAGCTGCCGTGTGGGCAGTGGTAAATGGGAGATGGCTCTCTTTTCCACGTTGAGTGGTTTTAAATGTTTCAGCCCCAGCCCCACCCCCGTGGCTCCCAGCACTGGTCTGTCTGTGGAATTGCCTTCCGGGAAGCAGGGAGTGAAGGTTCAGATCCCACACCACGCCTGCTCCACCCTCCTGTGGCCACGGTTTCCCTTTTCTTTTCTTTCTGTTTTGCTTCTTAGACTCCTTAGCATTGACTAGCTAGGGAAGGAACGATACTATGAACCAGGCTTTAAAAATACTTTTATTTTCTGAGGCATTTATCCTGAGAGCCAAGGTGCTCTCCAGGGAAATCTGCCAGCCCAGACCTTGCAGTGTGCAGGCTTGGTTCCCGGCTGGCCCCTCGGGAAGGTGGTGGGCCGTACTGCCCAGGTGGGCACAGGGTCTTGCCCAGCACCCACCAGCCCTCCTGCTGCCTGTGAGGGGCCGCTCAGCAAGGCCCGCTCACGGACTGGAGCCCCGCTGGGCAGGAAGGGCATTTGGTGGTGGGAGAACAGGCCAGGGATGGGCTGCTCGAAGGAATCCAGTCCTCAGCTGGGAGCAGAATCAAACAGAGGTCCTGTCCCGCCACAGACAGGAAATGACTCTTCTGCAAGTATTTTGTCATTTAAAAAAGAAGACAGAAAGATATTTTTTCATCTGTCTACTGTTACGGTAAAAAAAAAAAAAAAAAAAAAAAAAAGCATTCAAATCTGTTAAGAATTTTGTGAGTTTGAGCCAAACTGTCGACAGATGCCGGGAAGCAGTATCTCAACAGCTTGGGACAATGCTCCTGAGAATGGCGAATTCATATCTTGTTTTTATAAATTACCATCAAAAGGAAAAGACCTAAGTGGGTTATATGAAATCTATTGGTGATAGATTAGGGAGATGGGAGAAAGCAAAGCAGGGAAACCTCTGGGATTGAACCGAAAGTGAAATGATGGACATGTGCTTCTTTTACAGAGATGAATACAGGATAGCTTACCATAGTTAACAGTTGGAGATTAATTTGATAACAATGAGGGCCGAGACCGGTTTGGCTCAATGGATTGAGCGTCGGCTTGGGGACTGAAGGGTCCCGGGTTCAATTCCGGTCAAGGGCATGTACCTTGGTTGCGGGCATATTCCCAGTAGGGGGTGTGTAAGAGGCAGCTGATCGATGACTCTCTCTCATCGATGTTTCTAACTATCTCTCTCCCTTCCTCTCTGTACAAAATCAATAAAATATATATTTTTTAAAATAAATAAATAAATAAATAGATAGATAGATAGATAAAACAATAACATTGAGGGAAAGACCTGGTACCATTTGTTGTGCCCTGAGGGGTCCGGAGAAAGAGAAGTTACAAGTTACCCAGACATTTCACACGTATGTTATTTTAAATCCAAAAAGGCGATAGGCTAAGTAAAATCGGAGTTTATCTTTGTCAGGGAAAATACTGGCCTAGGACTGACTACCCACTATAAACTGTTCTGAGTCAAATATTTAATTTTCAGGCCATCCTTTGTGGTTATTTTAGGTTTTTGATTTTGCACAACCGCCATGCAGGCCTTCCCTGAACTAGTCAGGTGAGCATGTGGCCCCTTATTTTTTGTCCATACACATATGCTTCCCCCCTCATATTTGTTCCCAAAAGATAGATGGCAGCTCACGATGACACATACATGGTGCATCCAGCCAAAAGCAACTGCAAACGAGGAGGCCAGAGAAACTCGGCTGGGAGAGCTGGAAACTCGTGAGGTTTTCCTACATCCTGGTGTGCTCTCTCCCAGCCCCCACACATTGCTGGGTTTTGTTATAGCACTTTCCTCCCCTCCTCTCACCAGGAAATACCAGAAGCAATAACCCACAGCTGCTAATGAACCACATGAGCGGAGTCCACTTAGGGGAACCCTGAGCATCTTACTGCGGAGAATACAGAGACACAGGCTCCTCTGCGTGGGGATTATGACTCAGCAGCATTCCAAACAGTGGTAGAGATTAAGTATCTCAGAGCCTTTTATTGCTCTTCCAGCACAATGTTCCTATTGATAAGCAGAGACCATATAAGGGGGCTGGGCCTCTCAGCAAATAGTTACCTATCTTTCAGGACCCTCCCAATTTACACACATATTGCAATGTACATTTTTTCCTAGAACCCAGCACCATGTGTTCATGCGGCAAATTACCTTTCTAAATCACAGGTGACAGTTGTCCTGAACTACGCCATGTGCTTTTACTGCTCTGCCCTAATCTGGCCTCCTCTCCCGCCAAACCACCACCATTTCCTGGCTGCCAGGCTGCTGAGCTCACCGTTCTGCAGGGGATGGAGAGCCCAGAGGTCACTTGGGGCCAGGCTGATCCTTACCAGCAACCATCAGCCCCTATGTCCCACCGTGTCCTCCCCAGCCGGCCCTGCCGCCATCGCCCCTGCAGAGTTTAGTGACAGTGACCAGCATCCTTAGTCAGCATTGTCCCTCCTGCAGCAGCCGGGGGGGGGGGGGGGGGGGGGGGAGACACTCTGCCAGGCCAAAGGGGGCCTCCCTGTGCTCTGCCGAAGGCCACCTTCTCCAATGCCGGTGGGAGAGGCCAGCCAGAGGGACCCTGCCTGAGGGTGCCCTTTCCCCAGCATCACC